AATTCCTCAGAGGTTAAACAGCAATTCTATTCCATACCATGAGAAACACATTCCATGTAAAACTAATACATGAATATTTATAGTATTATTCTTAACTGCTTGGAAAGTAGAAACAATCTAAATTTTCTCATCTGATAAACTGATAAAATGTAGTATAACCATACAATGAAATATCTTCTCAATAAAACAAAAGTAGGTAGAAATGCATGTTGTTTTAACGGATGAAACATGAAAGCATTATACTCAGTGGTGAGAGGAAAAACTATATCCACCTAGAGAGCACATTCAATGGTTTTTTAGCATATCAACAGAATCCATTCACCACAAAGTTTACAAAAACAAACATGCATTTCACTATTGTGCTATACACCCAGCCCTAGTGAAGTTGTTATAAAAACCATTTTGGTTACAAAGTACAATAAATGTAATGATACATCAAATATTTCTATACCTTGAGGTATAATTGCTCTTTTAAAATAACATAATTCCAAACTGTCACCCATCCTAGCTCATTCCTCTTCAACCAATAAAAACATACATTTCTTGCCATATTTACTAGCCTACAAGATGACTACAGTGCAATCTGTATCTGACCTTCATCAACCTGCTTAACTATGTCCCCCATCAATAGCTCCAAATGCACTGCAACCCTAAGTTGTTTTAAAAGCAACAATTTCAAATTACCAAACACTAAGTGTCATTTAACTCTTCCCAATTCCACGTTGCCTTCAACTCTATCCTCTTCATTACTGCATAAAGAGCCCAAATTCCTAGTATTTGTGCTCATTCCTGAGATATGGGTTTCTCTTTCCCTTCATTATGGTACTGGGGACAGAACCCAAGCACCTGTATATGCTAGATAAGACTCTGCCACTGAGCAACATCCCTAACCCCCACCTTTTTTTAATTTATATTTTTATTGTAGTTGGATGCAATACCTTTATTTTATTTATTTATTTTAATGTGGTACTGAGGATGGAACCCAGGGACCTGCACATGCTAGGCGAGCACTCTACTGCTGAGTCACAACCCCAGCCCCAGATCCCCAACCCTTTCTTAATACTTAATTTTGAGATAGAGTCTAAGTTGCTGAGACTGGCTTTGAACTTGTTCCTGCCTTAGCCTCTGCTGTAGCTGGATATACCACACCTAGCAAATACTTGGGTATCTACTATCAACAATAAAACAATCTGAAGAACAGTTTCCCATGAGGAAATGGTGTAAGAACTACCCAAAATGTACTTCCTACAAATAAGCCAGAGTAATAGTTCATTAAAAAAAAAAAACAAAAAAACTAATCTGATCATGTTATTACTTGATTAATAATACCTTACAATGATTCCAATTTGTTTTGAGGGTAAACTGTGAAGTCCTTGACAGGACCTAGATGGTCAGCCCCAAAGTTGGCTTACTTTTCCAACCTCATCTCTTCCCTCTTCCCTCTATACATCACCAGCCTGCCTCTTCTAACCTTCCTAGGTACACTTAGAATAGGTAGTTGTCCCCACCTATGACTATCTGGTCAAAGCCAGGCAATGATCTACCTCATATCTAGTGAATCTCATAGCTCATATTCATATTATAATTATCTTGTTTCACCATACTCTAAGACTCCAACCACGGTGACTGCATCTTATTCATGCTTTTAAAGAAAATTAATAGCTTTTTTTTTGAAAGAGAGAGAAAGTTTTCAATATTTATTTTTCAGTTTTCAGTGTACACAACATCTTTATTTTATTTTATGTAGTGCTGAGGATCGAACCCAGGGCCCCGCGCATGCCAGGCAAGCACGTTACCGCTTGAGCCACATCCCCAGCCAAGAAAATAAATAGCTTTTAAAAAAAAGTGTATGTGTAAGACTCCTTTGGCGCAAGAATTAAAATCAAGAATCAATAAATGGAATGGACTAAAACTAAAAAGTTTCTTCTCAGCAAAAGAAACAATCTGTGAGGTGAATAGAGAGCCTACATATTGGGAGCAAATTTTTACCCTTCACACAGAGCAGTAATCTCTAGGGTATATAAAAGACTCAAAAAGTTACACAACACATACACACACACACAAAAGTCACACAACAACAACAAATAACCCAATCAATAAATGGTCCAAGGACTTGAACAGACACTTCTCAGATGATAATATACAATCAATCAAATTGATAAAAAAAATATTCATCGCTAGCAATTAGAGAAATGCAAATCAAACCCCTCTAAGATTTCATTTCACCCCAGTCAGAATGACAGTTATTATGAAGACAAATAACAATAAGTGTTGGTGAGGATGTGGGGAAAAGGTACACTCATACACTGCTGGTGGGACTGCAAAATGGTGCAGCCAATATAAAAAGCAGTATGGAGATTTCTTGGAAAATTGGGAATGGAACCACCACTTGACCCAGCTATCTCTCTCCTCGGTCTATACCCAAAGGACTTAAAAATAGCATACTACAGAGACACAGCCACATCAATGTTTATAGCAGCACAATTCACAACAGCTAAACTGTGGAACCAACACGAATGCCCTTCAGTGGATGAATGGATTTTTTTTTAAATGTGGCATATATACACAATAGAATATTACTCAGCAATAAAAGAGAATAAAATCATGGCATCTGCAGGTAAATGGATGGAGTTAGAGAATATAATGCTAAGTGAAGTAAGCCAATCCCAAATAAACAAATGCTGAATGTTTTCTTTGATATAAGGAGGCTGATTCATAGTAGGATAGGGAAAGGGAGCATGGGAGGAGAAATAGACTTTCTCTAGATAGGGCAGAAGGGTTGGAGATGAAGGGAGAGGGCATGGAATTAGAAATGATGGTGGAACATGATATTCATTATTATCCAAAGTACACGTATGAAGACACGAATTGATGTGAATATACTTTGTACACAACCAGAGATATGAAAAAATGTGCTCTTTATGTGTAATAAAAATTGTAATGCAATCTGCTGTCATATTAAAAAAAAATGGAAACACATTCAGCCCATAGAGCCCACACAGTTAACTATAAAGTCAAATACCAGAAGCTGGAAATCTTCTCACTTTCTACTAAAACAGATCATTGGTCATTTAAAAATATAATATTAAAATCTCTGAAAATCTTTCCAAAGTATGTGCACAAAGCTGATAAATCTAGAGTGCACATTGAGGACACTTGTTCTCCATAAAGAAATAAGGACCAAGGGGCTGGGGTTGCAATTCAGTGGAAGAGCGCTTGCCTAGTATGTGTGAGGCACTGGGTTCGATTCCCATCACCACATATAAGTAAACTGATTAAATAAAGTTCCATTAAACAACATGTGTATGGGTGTATTCATTTCTTTACCCCCATCACCTACTGAAACTCCTGGGAAAAACACTTCATAAATATTTATTCAATGAAGTGAGCAGGGCATTGAGTTTGGTAGAATTCCAAAAGGCAGAAAAAAAGTGGCAAAGGAAAGAGGAGAACTAAAGAAATCCTGAAGTTTAGGCCCCTAGGTACCTTGAAGAACTATGGGTCCTTTACAGAAAGGACAGATCTGAGGAAAACCCGCTATGGGGAAATGAAGGATTTAGGTTTTAGAAATAGTCTGTGTTTACTATGTTGGAAAAGAAATGTGATTGGGCTGGGGCTGTAGCTCAGTCGTAGAGCGCCCTCCTCACAACGTGTGAGGCACTTGATTCGATCCTCAGCACCACGTAAAAATAAATAAAGATATTGTGTCCAACTACAACTTAAAAAAAAAAAAAGAAAGAAAGAAAGAAAGAAAGAAATGTGATTATCAAGATATGACTTAAAGATTAATGTATGTTACAACAAACTACCTCAAGGCAGAAAATGGATAAAGAGAAGCAAAGGGGGAAAACCCAAAATTTAATAATTCAAACACTTGTTGTCTTTGAAATATTGAGTTTATCTCTGGGTACAAAAGGTACATACTGAACAGCTGTAGCTAAACAATCAAGTCTTACTATATTCCATCTAGATCAAAAGGTGATCTAGTCTTCAGTCACTACTAATACCCACACACTTTCACTTTTCCTTATGTCCAAAAATATTGCCAACATTTGCTTCTTCTAATACTTACAAAACTACACACACACACACGCAAATATGTGTGTGTGTATTTTTTTTTAAAGTGCCCTTTCAGTAAAAGCAATATTTTCTGGGCCAGTTTAATCATAATAAAACGCAGTATTTTGAAAGAATGGCATAAAAGGTAAATTGAAATAGCGAACATCTAACTTTCAATACTTCAAAGAATTACTTGGCACTATATTGGGCACCATGAGGAATACAAAAAGAAAGACCAAGAAAACAATGAAAAAAATGATTAATAATTTTTAAAATACCATCTTAGATATGTTTTGAGAACAAAAGGATCACTCAGTCACTCTTTTCTAGGGTTTTAATACTATAACTAAGCTTAAATAATCTTTCATAGGAACAAAATATCTCTATCATCTTTTTAAAGTACTATCTACCTCCTTCCATGAAAAGGTCTTTTAATGAAGTACAGTAAGGAAAACTGAACCTCTATTAACCCTGTTTGTTCCATCTGAAATAAAACTGGTAGTTCCAAAAGGTGATGACATGAAAATGATATGGTTAATTCTTATACAATGCTACTACCTTTGGATTTTTACTAATGTTCACTAGGCAGTGAATTATCCTTAAATTCTAGGAAGCTTTAAACTTACATAGTGAAAAAAAAAAAATCTTTAAAAAGAAAGTTTTGGTGTCCCTCTTGTGTTTCGAGGTATAACGCTATCTACCATCATACAGATGCTGTGAAATATCATTATGTGCCTAACTCTTCTATTAGTAGCAAGTCAAGCATTGGCCCAATCATGAGTGTTTCTCAAGAAAAAATGTGAAATTAACAAGTGGCTATGTAGTCAATAAAAACAGTCTTGTACAAAGACAAAAATACCAAATCTTAACTATTTTTTAATTAATTAATAGTTAAAAATAGTTAACTTTTTTTTTAGTTAATTTCTGATGGGTTTTGTTACCTCTTCTTTTAGTGCATGTTTCCTCTGTTCCAAACAGATCTCTTTAGCTCTCATCATCTGCAAAGTCTCTTTAGAAACTGCATACTGAAGTTTTTCCATACGTTCAGCAGCTGCTGCCCACGATGCTTTACCAAATTTCTTCTGATCTGCTCGCATTCGATCGTACACAGCTATTAAAATACAATCATTTTTTTAAATGACATTAAGAAATAGAACTTGACATTACAGAATTAGAAACTGTTTGGTTTCACTGACCACATAAATCTTATCTCCATAAGTTACCTACCAACATCTCTAAAATATAATGACAATATTGTACAGTCTCTCTAATGTCTTCAGTTTCAAAAATAATGTTCTGCAGATGAAACTCAGTGTCCAAGTAGTTTAAATTTTTTTTTCAAATACTTTCATGTCTAGTGTTACTACTTTCAAAACTTTATCAGAACTTTATTCTGTTAAGGTTTTGACAATCTGTCCTAACTATGCTAGATGAAGGAAAAACCATGACAATTTAAGATTATAAACATTCAAATCGACATTCCTAGTTCTATCATTCTTTTCCCTCCAAAAATATCATAACACCCTGAGGTGGGAGAGAAATAAGTTCTAGATAACATGGTGCTCGTGCAGGAGATAAAAACAATACAATTGATTTTCAGAGAAGACACAGCCCTGACCCATCCATCAAAAAGGAAGAGGATCACAAAAGTGAGGGTTTTTTGTTGTTGTTTTGTTTTTTTGTGTTTTTAATTTTTCTGTATTGGGTAGAGATTTTTTTCTCAACTAGAAGTGTGTTGTGTATCTAGACACTATCCTTAATATCGTGTTTTCCTTTTTAAAAAACTTTTTCATTAAAAAATTATAATACAGCTTCATGGTCATGTGTAACTTTAAGTTTGTTAAGAAACCATAAAATTATTTTCTAAAGTGACTGTAGAACTTTGCATTCCTAACAGAAATGAAGAGTTCCAATTACTCTATATCCTCATCATTACTTAGTATGTTAGTATTTTTAATTTTAGTCACTGTAATACACATTAGTGGTATCTCTCACTGTGGTTTTAATATGTATTTTGTGGTGACTAATGACATTGCACTCCCCCCCACCCCCTGTGCTTGTTGGCTACCCTTATCCTCTGGTGAAGTGTCTGTTCAAGTTCTCTTCCCAACTTTTCACTGGATTATTTTCTCATTTTTGAGAGTTCTTTATGTAGCCTAAATACAAGTTATTTTATCAGACGTATGCAAATATTTACTCCCAATTACACTCTTAATTGTCTCATTCTATTTAAAGTGTCTGGCAATATAAACATTTTAAACTTTTGATGAGATACATTTTACCAAGTTGCTCATTTACAGTCTGTGCTCTTTTTGCTTTTAGCTTTTTACAGTTTATACCTGTGGTATTACTAAGAACTCTTTGCCTAATCCCAAGTTATAGATTTAGGTAATTCAAGGAAATAGATTTTTCTTTTGGAATTACATTCTACATTTGAATCTATGATCCATTTGAATTTAAAGGAAGGTTTATATCAAAGTTCAGTTTTCTGTATGTAGATGGTCAACTGTTGCAATATCAAGTGTTGTCTCACTATTGATTTGCTTTATCAAAGATTAAATGGCCATATTAGTATGTCTATTTCTTTACTACTATTCTCGATCACTGATTTTAAAGGAAAGGTAAGTGTACCCACATATGCCTGCCTACAAAGTAAACACCTTAATTTGCTATGGTCTTTAACTGCTAGGATAAATGATCCTATGTTTTTCTGTATAATTATTCCCAATGTAAAATACTTAATCACTCATCTTCAAAAATGCCTAAAAAGAATAATTTTACTGGGACTTACCTTTTTGAGCTTTTGCTGTTATTTCAAAATATTTGACTGTAAGATCTTGAATAGATAGTACAGCCATATGAGCTTTCCGCTGCCAGTCGGCATCTTCTTTTTGTAGACTCTCAATTCTTCGGGGTCCCAGATAATCATTTTCCATAGAAATCTTTAGAAAGAAAGAGAAAAAAATTTAAAAAAAAGGAAAGAAGCCTTTTAACTCACTCTTCTTCAAACATTTACTAAATGCTTATGTGTCAGCCATTAAGCTAGGTGCTAATAATCCAATACTTCTTTCACACTGCTCTAGAAGAGATGCTATTAATTTAAAAAAGAAGTGATTAACGATGAAACAGACTATTTGACATAGAAATCTATTTTCCATGCCTCTCCGCTACACTCTTCCATCTCTTCCCCTCAATATATAAATAAAGGATATAAACCAAAATGTTAAAAATCTGATTATTTGGGGGTGTTGCAATAATGAACAATTTATTCTGTCCTTTACAATAACTACAAATTCAGGTTAAAAATTATCTATGTGGAGCTGGGGATGTGGCTCAAATGGTAACGTGCTCACCTGGCATATGTGAGGCACTAGGTTCAATCCTCAGCACCACAAAAAAAATAAATAAAGATATTGTGTCCACCTAAAACTAAAAATAAATAAATATTTTTGAACAATCATCTGTGCACCGCTTCTGTAACTTAGCAATATCCTCTCTCAAAACAAAAAAGGTAGTTTAGTGGTAGGGAAGGAAGGAAGGAAGGAAGGAAGGAAGGAAGGAAGGAAGGAAGGAAGGGGAAAAATAGAACAGAAGGAAAGAAAGAAAATGGAAGGAAGGAAAGAAAAAGAAAGGCAAGATAAAAGAGGAATAGAAAGGGAAACAATTATTTGTGCAATAAAATATTAGTTTAATTTACTGCCATTAAATAAATAAAATACAGAAAATGCAAATTTTAAGACTGATAATATATAAAAATTAGCCCATGTGCATACTGATAAGGCCCATGACTGAGGCTTAAGGAATTCTTACATTCTGATGTTGGGTAAAGAAGGACCTACAGACACCAAGTCAGACATAAGGAAATTCCAGAAGCAGTAAGATTCAGAGGAGGAAAGACTCTCATTGTCACACTCCACTTAGTAGAAGAAAAGGATGAGGACTAGTATCCATGGACATAATATCATGAAGATCACTGTACTTAGCAACATGGTTCTGACCTAAAAGGTAAACTCCCTTTGCTTTTTAACTTCCATCACATCTTTAGAACTCAGTTCATTTATTGGTTTGTGAAAATACCCTGACTTTCCATAATAAGCTAGTTGGTGCAATACCTATACCTTTCCTTCACAACAATTACTACTATACTCATACTTTACCATTATTTTGTGAACTTGCAAATACTAATACAATGTATTGTATTTCCTAAATGACAGAAAATAGAAAAAAATTCCCTTCCATGCAGTTTTGTATCAAGAGAAATGCAGACACACATATATAAATAATATTCCGAGAAATCTTATTATGTGAAGGAATAGAGAAAAAGAGAGACTTGGGGAAAGCAATGGGCTTATCTATGGGACTTTTGCTTTCTATTTTGAGTAGCCACATCTTTTTTTCTTTCTTTCTTTTGGTACTGGGGATTGAACTCAGGGGCACTCAACCACTGAGCCACATCCCCAGACCTATTTTATATTTTATTTAGAAATAGGATCTCACTGAGTTGCTTAGCGCCTCGCCATTGCTGACGCTGGCTTTGAACTTGCGATCCTCCTGCCTCAGCCTCCCCAGTCACTGGGATTATAGGTGGGCACCACCAAGCACAGCTTGAATAGTCACATCTTAATGGGAGATCATGGGCAAGGTGAGGTAATATAAGAAACAAGTATCCAGTGGAGGGCAAATCTAAAGCTGTAAGAGATGGGGCTAATTAGTATAGGGAAATTCCTTAAAAAAAAAAAAATAGGGAAATTCTTAAGCAGAAATAACCAGAGATGTTTGCACTGAAAAGTTGTTTGAAAGGCCAGATTTGGATCGTACACATCTAATATGAAAGTTATGCTTAATATGGTTATAAAACACAATTTTATGCAATAGTGTTTATGAAAGTTTTTTTTTGGTATTTTTTCCTGGCAGCACTAGAGATAGAACTCAGAATCTTGCACATGATAGGCAAGTACTCTACCACTGAGATACATTCTCAGCTCCTGTAAAGGCTTTTTTAAAAAAGTTTTTAATAACAGGAAATGATGCTTATAATAGTAGGTGAGGACAGATCAAAATCATAGACACAAATCCTATTATCTAAAAGAGTTGCAGAAAAAAAAGACAAAATAAAAATAATGTATTATTACTGTTATCTTGTTGTGGTAAATTTTTTTTCCTCCTGCTAAAAACTGCAAACTCACTTTCCCAAATTTTTTTCTTCACTGAATATATACATCTTTCATAGTCATAAGGAAAAAAAATGACTTGATCTCTTCTTGGGTTCACAAACCATACCAAGTACACAAGGTAAAATCACATTATCCCAGAAGTTTCCTGTTTCTGTTCAAGCAAACAGCTAGTCCATGTTTTCAGATATGGGGCCCACCAAGAAGCAAGACTATGAGTTACCTCCTTTTTTCCAATCTACAGGGAGGGAGGAGAAGTGGAGATATTATCAGAATCTAAATGTCTCCACTAATAGCTAGAAAAGAGAAATATGAATCTATGTGAGTTCCATATCTGGGACTATAAAAAAAATGCCAAACAAAGAAATTTAGGCCAGGAACAGCACCTTTAGTTTCTTGATAGTCAATTCCCTACTGGATCTCCTCCCCCACTTTTAAAATTCTCAGTGAAGGTTACTATACCTCCAACTTCAGGAGCCTAACATAATATGCACTGCATATCGTTGGACTTTTCTTCTCCTTTTTAGACTTTCTAATGGCTCTTTCTGGAAATTATTTCAACTGTAGAATTTGAATAGAGAGACTAGTGTACTAGGTGCTTCAAGGAGCACAAGTATACGATTGAGATGCACATTCTCCTCCTAGTAAACACACAATATCTCATTGGTGAGGTGCTACAAAGATATCTGTGATGTAGAAGTCAGTTTTGAAATTAGGAGACACAGCTGTTACTTATTAACTGAGAGCTTTGAAAAATTACTTATCAAGTCAATTGTCCACTCAAAATGATGGCATATTACACATCTGCTCAGTGCCAATATTGCACTGTAGACAGCAAGACATTTGACTTAATGAAAGACATGGGCAATTTAAAGAATTACAACAGAATATGAAAAAAACATCATGACAAAAATTGCCTAAGATACCAAGAGAACACCAAGGGTAGAGGTTCAGGTGCAAAGTCTGGTCAGAACTAAAGGAACAGAGTAGTGGATTCACAGAGAATAAGCAGAAAAAATTGGGGGAGGAGTAAATATTACAAATAGTGAGCCTCTGGGTAAAAAGAATAAAAGTACTTTAAGACCATGGAGATTTATGCTTAAAAGTCTGTTGAGAGCAAAAGTAAATAAAGTTAAGTAAGACAATCAGGGGAGACAAAGACCACTGAGAAGAATCAGAAGGGGAAAATACATTTAGTTATTTAGATCAGGACATATTTCACTGAGTTTCATAACTGCAGATGGCTTTAAAGGAGGATGTGACAGGTCTATATGGAGTACAAGGGGAGAGAGAACCCCTGAAAAAGACAAGCTAGAGGCAACTACCAACCTGAACAAAAGTGTAGAGGCAGGCATGTGGAGGGCATGCCAAGGGAGAGATAGTAGTCTAGCCTTGTAGGAGCTTAGATGAAGCAGATAAAAGCAATGGGAGTGGAGACTAGAAAAGTAGGTTGTGGACACTATGAGGAGGTTTTTAAATGTCAGGCTGAGCAGTGTATTCTTAATTTGACAAGAAAAAAAAAGCACTGTGGGATTTTAAGCAATAAATAGTATATTTGAACTTTATTTTAGATTCAAGTATTCTAGTGGACCTGGCTGCTCATAATAAAATCATTGAGGTGTATTTATCCCTGATTTTAAAATCTCTGTTTAAAAAGTGAGCATTATTTGCAAGGGTGGGATAGAACTTCAATAATGCTGCAAGTCGAAATTTTAATCTCATAGTTAGGATTTATGAACTTTTATTCACAGTATAAACACAAGAGAAATGGAAATAACATTCATTACAGCTTTTAGACATGATAGTCTTTGACATCTACCTGAAGTTAACTGTGCTTTGTTACCTTCACAGAATAAAAAAATGCTCAGTATGCTCTTCTTCTAAGCTGCTTCTTAATTTCACTTCCCAAACTCAGTAGTCACAACATCTATCAAGCCTGAAGCTTGTCTATCAAGCCTAAATTCTTGTCTATCATTTCGAAGTCCATCCTTCTGCTTTATAATGCTTAGATTTGGGATCAGCAGATCTCCTTTAGGCTTTTCCAACAAAAGAGTTTGGAAAAGTTTGCTTAATTTTTAATAATTCCAACTCGTTCTTTGTTTGCCCAGTCCTAGGAGGGGTAGCTCCTTTTATAATTGCTTCCTCTGAGGTGCCTTAGAGTAAATTTCTTGATTTCCTAATTATTCAAAATTTTAAGATAGAAATCATTTATTTGCATGTTAAATACTGTATCCTTAATCCACAGGACTTGGGGGGAAGTGTATAATTTACATTAAGGCTTTTTGGGGAGAAAAAAAATTTTTCCTTTAAAAAAAATTCTGATAATTATTCGACGATAAGTTGTACATTGCTGTTGAATTAGTATCTTCATCTTCTCTACACACACACATTCACGGATATTTAAGATAGACATGCTTTCTATGCTTTTTTCCCTATGCTTTTTAACAGACTTTTTGAACTTAGCTGTAATGTTGTCACTAATAGTTAAGATCCTTAACAGTTTAATGTACCTAAAGCATTAAGCAAGAATATTCTTGAGTTCTTTTCCTAACTTGGTTAACTTGAAGATGTACAGCGTTGGTCTGCTAGATCATGTGCTAAAAACAATGACAACTCTGTTTTGAATTTCATGGCTAGAAAGAAAACAGTCCCTGTTTTAATATGGAAAAAAAAAAGTGTGTCCCTTTAGGTAGCTAGGAGAGTGAAACTAGTTTAAATACAAATTTTCTGGCATGAAGTTCCTCATCATAAAGCACATCACTTGCTGAGAT